TTTGAACCATTTCAGAGTAAACTAAGTTATTGTATCCCTTTGTCCCTAAATATTTCATTGTGTATTTCCTAAGAACAAGGACATTCTTGTACAATTATCCAAATCAGGACATACATGATTACAATATTACTATATATGACATATTTTATATTCAAATTTTGCCAATTGTCCCAATAATGTCCTTTATAACTATTTTGCCCCTTATCTAGGACACAATCCAGAACTACCCAGAGATTGTGTTGTCATGTGTCTTTGTTGTTGCTGTTATGTGCCAGCACTTTATCTCCGACTCAGAGACTCTATACATAACAGAACGAAACACTGCCCAATCCTGTGCCAGCATCATAATCCCTACTATACCTGAGCCCGTTGCTGCAGCCACTGTGTCAATCCGTCTTGCTGAGGGCCCTTTTTCGTTGACCCTCCACTTTACCAAGCATGAATTCCTTCCCCAGAGAATGGTCCCTTCTGACAACATGACCAAAGTAGGTCAAGCGAAGTCTGGCCAGTTTCGCTTCCAAGGAGCATTCTGGCTGCACTTCTTCCAGGACAGAGTTGTTAGTTCTTTTAGCAGTTCACGATACATTCAGCATTCTTAACCAACACAACTCAAAAGCATCAACTCTTTTCAGTCTTATTCATTGTCCAGCTCTCACATGCATATGAGGTGATTGAAAATTACCATGGCTTGAGTTAGGCACATCTTAGTCTTCAAGGAGATATCTTTGCTCTTCAGCACTCGAAAGTGGTCTTTTGCAACAGATTTGCTCAATGCAATACATCTTTTGATGTCTTGATTGCTGCTTCCATTGGCATTGATGGCAGAACCAAGTAATATGAGGTCTTTGACAACTTCAATCTTTTCTCCATTTATTGTGATGCTGCTTATTGGTCCAGTTGTGAGGATTTTTGTTTTCTTCATATTGAGGTGTAACCCATACTGCAGACTATAGTCTTAATCTTCATCAGTAAGTGCTTCAAGTCATCCTCACTTTCTGCAAGCCAAGTTGTATTGTCTGCATATCTCAGGTTGTTAATGACACTTCCTCCAATTCTGATGCCACATTCTTCTTCATATAGTCCAGCTTCTCGGATTATTTGCTCAGCATACAGAATGAGTAAGTGTGGGGAAAGGATACAACCTTGACACACTCCCTTCCTGACTTAAACCATGCTGCAGCCCCTTGTTCTGTTCCAACAACAGTCTCCTGGTCTACGTGCAGGTTCCTCATGAGTACAATTAAGTGCTCTGGAATTCCCATTCTTCTCAATGTTATCCACAGATTTTACGATCCACACAATCAAATGCCTTTGGATAGTCAATAAAACACAAGTAAACATCTCTCTGGTATTCTTTGCTTTCAGCCAAGATCCATCTGCCATCAGCTATGATATCTCTCACTTGATGTCCCCTTCTGAATCCAGCTTGCATTTCTGGAAGTTCTCTGTCAAGATACTGCTGCAACAGTTTTTGAATTATCTTCAGTAAGATTTTACTTGCGAGTGATATCAATGATATTGTTTGATAATTTCCACATTCTGTGGGATCACCTTTCTTTGGAATGGGTACAAATATGGATCTCTTCCAGTCAGTTGGCCAGGTAGCTGTCTTCCAAATCTCTTGGCTTAGCTGAGTCAGTGCCTCTAACACAGCATCCATTTGTTGCAACATCTCAATGGGTATTCCGTCAGTTCCCAGAGCCTTGTTTTTTGCCAGTTTCTTCAGTGTAGCCTTGATTTCTTCCTTCAATACCATTGCTCCTTGATCATATGCCACCTCCTGAAATGGATGATCATCTACCAGTTCTTTTTGGTATAGTGACTCCGAGTAATCCTTCCACCTTCTTCTGATGTTTCCTGTATCATTCAACATATTGCCCATAGAATCTTTCAATATTGCAAATCGAGGCTTAAATTTTTTCCTCAGTTCCTTCAGCTTGAGAAATGCCGAGTGTGTTCTTCCCTTTTGGTTTTTTAACTCCAGGTCATTGCACATTTCATTATAATAATTGACTTTGTCTTCTTCAGCTATTCTCTGAAATCTGTTCAGCTCTTTTATCCTGCTGATTCTCCCATTTACTTTAGCTACTCTGCATTCAAGGGCAAGTTTCAGAGTCTCATGTGGCATCCATTTTGGTCTGTTCTTCCTCTCTTATCTTTTTAATGACCTTTGGCTTTCTTCATGGATGATGCTCTTGATGCCATCCCACAATTCCTCTGTTTTTCGGTCATTGGTGTTCAATGCATCAAATCTGTTCTTTGGATGGTCTCTAAATTTGGGTGGGATATAATCAAGGTCATATTTTGACTCTCATGGACTTGTTTTAATTGTCTTCAGCTTCAACTTGAATTTTCTTATGAACAGTTGATGATCTGTTCCACAATCAGTTCCTGTCCTTGTTTTGGCTGAAGATATTGAGCTTCTCCATTGCCTCTTTCCACAGATGTAGTCAATCTGATTCCTTTGTGGTCCATCTGGTGAAGTCCATGTGTATAGGCACCATGTGTATAGGCCTATACACTGAAAAAAGGTATTTGCAATGAATAAGTCGTTGGTCCTGCAAAATTTTATCACAGGATCTCTAGTGTTATTTCTATCACCAAGGCCATATTTTCCAACTACCAATGATTCTTCTTTGTTTCCAACTTTTGCATTCCAATCATCGGTGATAATGACCACATCTTGATTGCATGTTCGGTCAATTTCAGACTGCAGAAGTTGTTATAAATCTTCAATTTCTTCATCTTTGGCTTTGGTGGTTGGTGCATAAATTTGAATAATAGTAGCATTAACTGGTCTTCCTTGTAGGCATATGGATAGTAATGCTATCACTGACAGCATTGTATTTCAGGATAGATCTTGATGCATTCTTTGTGATGATGAACTTGATGCATTCTTTGTGATGATGAACACCACGCCATTCCTCTCCAATTTGTCGTTCCCAGGATAGTAGATCATATGATTGTCTGATTCAAAATGGCCAAAAACAATCCATTTCAGCTCACTAATGCCTAGGATATCTGTTCCATTTCATTTTTGACAACTTCCAGTTTTTCTAAATTCATACTGCATACATTCCATGTTCCAATTGTTAATGGATATTTGCAGCTGCTTCTTATATCTTTAGACGTACCACATTAGCAAATGGAAGTCTCGAAAGCTTTACTCTATCCATATCATTAAGGTAGGCCCTACCCTGAGGAGGCAGCTCTTCTCCAGTCATATTTTGAGTGCCTTCTGATGTGAGGGGCTCATCTTCTGCACAATGTTTCAGGGACATTCATAAAATTTTCCAGTAATATATCAGACAGTGTTTCATTGCTATTCATAAGATCTTTTTAGATTCTTTCAATCTGGCACAATTTCTTAGACTTTGTTGTTCATAACACTAATATTTTTTTAAGCATTTAGGCCAGTTATCTAGATTTGTCTACCTCAAATGCAGGCTAGCACTTTTTGCAGGAATACTACATAATGTTGTGTCCTTTTCAGGTTATGATATCAGGAGGCATGTGATGTTACTTTCTCCCATAATTTGTGTTGGTGATTTTAGTCCCTTGGTTATGGTGGTGACTACCCAATTTCTCTATTTTAAATATAATATTTTCCTCTTTGTAATTAATGGGAGCTGTGGTGGCATAGTGCCTAAGGCTAACCAGAAGGCTGACGGTTCAAACCCACCAGCCATTCCTCGGAAGGAAGATTGGGCAATCTGCTTTCATAGAGATACTGCCTCGGAAACCCAAGTAGGGGTCACTATGAGTCAAATTGACTGGAAGGCAGTGAGTTTGGTGGGTTTTTTTTTTTTTGGTTTTGTAATTAATATGTTATTTTGAGGGGGAGTTATTTTGAGACTACGTAAATACCTTATTCCTCATCACACCTATGTTTACCTTCTTGCTCTAGCATCTTCTGAATATTTTTACCTAAATAAATTATTTTCTTATTGAGAAAGTTCACATACAATAAAATTCACTATTTTAAAATATAAGGAGCTCTGGTGGCATAGTGGGTAAGGCATTTGGCTGCTAACCAGAAGGTTGATAGTTCAAACTCACCAGCTGCTCTGCAGCAGGAAAATGAGGGAATCAACTTCAGTAAAGATTTACAGCCTTGGAAATGCAATGGGGGTTGCTCTATATCAGAATCAACCCAGTGGCAGTGGGTTTGGTTTGGTTTTTGGTTTAAAGTATACAATTCAATGGTTTTTAGTAAATTCACAAAATTAAGCAACCATAACCGCTACCTAATTGCTCTCCACCCTTCCCTCTCCCAACCCCTTGCAACCAATAATCTACTTTCTGTCTCTACAGATTCACCTATTCTGGACATTTAATAGAAATGAAATTTTTACAATCTGTAGCCTTTTTTGTCTGGCCTTTTCAAGGCTCATTCATGTTGTGGCATGTATTAGTTCAATTCCTTTTTATTTGCCTAAATCTATTATTACCATGATTGTTGAATAAAGGTGAATTTCTAACTCCATTGGTCTTTCTACACTTAATTGCAACATTACTTTTTCTATCATCGTCAGGAAGTTCTTTACGAAAACTGCACACGTAGACTAAATTTTATTAGACAAGATACCTTACCCTCAAGCAGTTTCCAATCTAAGATAAAAAGGCCTAAAAACATCATCATTCCCGTCGTTTTCATGATCTTCTCTTGTTGTTGTGTGTCATCGAGTCATGACCTCTCCTTGGATTTCAGAGGCATTATCTCTAGGGAAGTAGATTGGCCAACCTTCCTTCCGAAGAGTGGCTGGTAGGTTTGAACCGCCAGCCTTCTGATTAGCGGTCAAGTGGCTTAGGCAGTATACTACAGACCTCCTTATCTTCCTTGCTTCCACTTAAACAATTTGTGCGTCTCTTTCTGCCAGTCACCTCATCGGCTCCTCCCCCTCCTCCAGGTGTCTCCTCCCAGGCGGCTGCTAGAGCAGGAGGAGGAGGAAATGACGCACGGGAAGTGTCCCTGTTCCCCTTGCAGTGGGAGGAAGGAATCAAACTTCCAAGATGGCGGCGGCGTCGGAGGAGCGGATGGCTGAAGAAGGAGGCGGCGGCCACGGCGACTGCGGCTCCTCTTCGGCCGCGGGCTCTGCACAACGACAGCCTCCACCGCCGCCGCCCCAGCCCTCGCATCCGGGGTCCCAGGCGCCCCCAGCCCCTGCTCTTGCTCCAGACCAGCTGCCTCAAAACAACACGTTGGTGGCGCTGCCCATCGTAGCTATCGAGAACATCCTCAGCTTTATGTCCTACGACGAAATTAGCCAGCTCCGCCTGGTGAGGCCCCTAACCCCGCGGGATCCCCGCCGCCTTTTCCTAGAAGAGGTCTGGGGAGGGGAGAAAAAGGAGTGCGTTCCCCAGGGAGGGGGGCCCCCAGCCGGAGCCAGAGCATGGAGAGCGCCCCTCCCGCCCCAAACTCACCCTCTGCGACTGTCAGTGGGAGTGGGCTTACTTCTGAGGTGACATTTGCTTTGGGGATGGGACGATTACCTAGGGGAACTTTGCTTTACGGAGGAAGGGTTGCTCGGTGCACCCCGCCCGGAAGAGGGGCCGCTGGGTGGGGAGGTAGCGGGAGTTGGGATTTCCACCTGCCGCGCAGCCGGACCGTCGAACCCCAACGGGTGTCTTCGCTTGCCTTTTGTATCCCACCCTGCAGCTCCCGGCCAGGGTCGAGGGAGAAAACTAAGGAAATTAGCCAAGCCGAGCTTGGTTTTTATTGCAAGAATAACGTATTGTTTCCTCAACTACCCAAGTTTCATTGTTGGAGAAGGCAAAGTAGGGTTTGTCAGTTCTCCCAAAACCCAGGTAAAGATTCGGAGGAATTTGAAAGCTTTGACGTTGCGGTAAACCCAGCGCCCTAGTTGACCAATAAAGTAGAGCCCTGGGAAATGACCATTCCGGCTTTGCCTTCCCCTGACATTTGATCCGTAGTGAAGCAACTTGCCCCTTGACAGGTTTGTCTGTATATTTTTTGTTTGTTTGTTTCTCTTTCTCGTACAATCATTTTCTAACTAATGATTTACGTACACTCTCCCGCTTTAGGAGAGGTTTTCTACCTTAATATGGGAGTGCACTCCATGATTTTTATAAATAATAAATTTGCCATTGGGAATTTACTTCCAGAGGTTTGACTGCAGGTTTGATGAATGTGTAGTTCAATCAGATATTTTGCTTCCTTTCAGTGACTTTAAGTAGTTAAGGAGATTGAAGGAGGTGGACATTTTGAAGTGATTGCAAACCGACTCTGTGGTCGGAATTGTTTTTAAGAAGACAAAGACATATATCTGAGTGTGCTGTGTAGCGTTTTTTAATTAATCAGTATGTCATATTTTAGGCTCATACCTCCAGTTTAAAATTGATTTTAATTGCATTTTTAAAGAATAATAAGACTTATTTTTAAAAGAAAGCTTATATAAATCAAACTGGTGATCAATATTTTCTAGTCAACACAGCAGTTCAACCGTGCTAGTCTGCAGGATGGAAAATCATTCCATTGAAAAGTGCTATTTCAAAATTGATTGTCCCTAAATTTCCAAAACGTTCATGCTAGAATTTCATGGAAAATTTGAAATATTCCAGTTTTTCCAAAGAATGGTCTTTTATCAAGATTCATGCTCTACGTTTGTGGTATCTGGAAATTGGGCATAACATTTGATTGAATTGAGCCATTCAGCCAGACAATGGCTTTGTAATGCTTGGAATGTTCACAGTTGTGTTTTATTTATAAGTGTCTAGGAAAACTGTGGTTTCTTGTTTGTTAGCCATTTTACTTTCAAAAATAAAAAAAACAATTTTAAAGGGGGAAATGCCAGCTTACCCTAGAAGACAGAGTTAAAAACACATCCCATAATTTATTAATAAATGACATTTCTTTCAAGTGAAATATTCACCTGTATTTTAATTTTCAAGCAATTATCTAGCCTTTTGAAAATGCAAATCTGTAATTTCTAACAAAGATTTTTCATGAAGAGTCCCTTTTTTTCCACCCCCACCCCCACCCCACCCCAAGAAAAAATCTAGTCAGTTTTAGGTCTGCAAAGGTAGCTTTACATCTGCTTTAGTGATGGGGAACTGTTCTCTCAGTCCATTCTTTGCTTAAGGTTAATAGGTAATTCTTAAATAGTTTAATTTATCTCTTGTGGGAATTTGGAAACGACTTTGGTTTCAGATTTATTGATTTGTTGTCAGAAGGTACAGTTCAGGTAACGTTATAAAAGATGTTCTTTCTTACCACTAGATGTCAGCATTAATTTAATTATGATCTTTTTTATGAAATTGGCAACCTAGAGACCTTGTCTGGTAGATGCTTTACATCCCTTTCCAGTTGAAGTAGCTATTTATATGTAAAGAATATTTTGCCAAAAAACAAGAAACTTTCATATTTCTAGTGTATAGATGGCTATTTATTAAGAAGATTTTTTTTAAAAATGGAATTAGGGCTCTATACACTTGAAAGGGAGTGATATTAAGAACAGAATTAATATTCGTAAAGCTAAATGTCAGTTATTTGGTGGCTCATGAGCTAGTTTATGTATTGTTCAGGTTTGTTTTTTTTTTCCTACCCAGTTTATTTGCCATATTAGGACCTCAGTCATACTGTTAGCTCCTAAACTGCTGAAAGCTCACTGCTTCCAGTCGATTCCAACTCACAGCAAGCCCTCCTTGGATTTCTGAGGCAGTTTTCTCTACGGAAGTAGATTGCCCAACCTTCCTTTCAAGGAGTGACTGGTAGGTTTGAACCACTAACCTTCTGGTTAGCAGTCAATACCTTAGGCACTATGCCACCAGAGCTCCTAGCTTCTAAATTAGAGGTACCCAAATACATGTACTTGGGAGCTCTAGCAGCATAGTGGCTAAGGCACTTGACTGCTAAACAGAAGGCTGGCAGTTCAAACCTACCAGCCAGTCCTCGGAAGGAGGATGGGGCAATCTACTGCTGTAGTGATACTGCCTCGGAAACCCAAGAAGAGGTCGCTATGAGTCGGGTCTGACTCGACGGCACATAACAACAACAACAAAATACATGTACTTATGTCTCTGTATTTATTTATTTATTTTTTTAAGATTTGCTTTTCACTACTAAATGAGATTTTTTAAGTATTTGTCAATTTAATTGATGGTAGTTTTTGCTGCTTGGTACCATAAATAATTGAAATTTGATTTTCCAGTCCAGTAATTTCTAAGGGACTCTATGAAATTGGAGTGTGTGTGTGCGTGCGCATGTGCACATGTGCACGTGCACACACACACCACTGACTGTGGCTCTAAAATGTACCCAAAGCCTGGAAATCCTGGTTACACTGAAATAATTCCTTAAATAATTAATTCTTCCAATGTTTTTTAAATTTATTTGGCTGAGCATAACTTTAGAGATGACAAAACATGTCACATGCTCTTCCAGTAAAACAGACAAATTTGTGCTGATGCAGCAGTAGTATGTCATCTAGGCCCCCTTGATTGAGTATGTGAGAAACTTTGGAACAGGTGGCAAAGGTTAAGAAGTGGGGTCCTACCCATAGTTATAAGCAGATCAAAGCTAACTTTGACCCTGTAACTTTTGACTCATGAGCACAATGTTCTTACCCAGTGAAAAATAAGTTTGAAAGGCTTTTTAAAAAAAATTTTAGAGAAATCCTCCCGAATTGTTTTCCTTTGTGGTTCATGTTTTTAATTCAGTGGAATTAATTTGAGTTCTGTTAGTGGTTCAGGATATGTATTTAACCAGAAGTTAAATTTTATTATCTGGAAAGAAGTTTATAGTTATCTTTCACATCTTTTCTTCAAATATGTTAGAAAATTTTGGTTAATAGAGAGGGATGATTGGTAA